ATGAGATCACGCAGTTCTGGTGCAGGCTGCTGCATCTGGCAGTGGATCTGTCAAGTCAGGAGTATTGTGTGTTGTAGGTTAGAAAGCCCCAGATGCCTAATTCTCTACAGGGGGTAAAGGGGACAGCCAGGGGATGACAATAATAGCAGTGGTAGCGAACGTCAGGAGATGCATAGTGGGAGCCTCCATGGTGCTGGCTTGTGACTGACTTTGGAGCTGAAGACAAGTGGTACTAACCGGGTCACAGAACTAGGGCTTTGTCCGTGTCTGACAGGCTGCATGGCCCACCTCCTGGTGATGGAGGTGCTGAGAGGAAGATGACCCTAGATTCTACCCTGTGGGCCGTGGCCTTCTTGCTGGCTGTATTCATTGCTGTGTTCCAGGCCCCAGTAACTGACTGCGCACAGTCAGCCCTCAGTTAAGCTGCCCTTGAGGGGTTCACATCAAACATTTACTAAACATCTACTGTGTGCTGGCTGCTGCTCAAGCCCCGTGTGGAGAGACCTAGCAGTCAGGGCTGGGGCTATAGAGGGCCCGAGGCCTGGTCCCACAGCTAACACTGTTGGTGTCATCCTTAGGGTGACTGGGGTGCCCTTTGCTGCCTGGGCTCTGGGCACATCCTGGCTGAGGGGTTGCTGTTAGGGCTGCCTGAACTCATGATCTTCCCTTCCTGTGGTTCTGAGGAGCTGCAGAGTGGACATCTGCTGAGCAGCCTTTCCAAGGAGGGCGGTATCAGGGTGTCCCCACTGCCTTCCTTGTCCCTCTGCCCTCTGCTCACCCCTGTGCTATGAGGCCAAGTGAGGAAATACCCTGTGGAATCTGTTCTTTGTCTCTGCCCTCATCCTCCCAACTGTGTCAGATATCCTTCCCACCTGCAGTGGCCCTTGGTGGTACTTGGAGGAGAAGCCTCACTTGGAGGATTCCTCAGGCCCAGCCCTGATGTCACATGCTCCTGACTCTGTTCGGAGTGTCCCAGGGCCTTTTCACACCATGCCAGGACTGTGGTCCCTCTCCCCACACAGACTGTGCTCTCAGAGGACAGGCCCTGGGCTTGGCTTGGACTCTGGGAGTTCCTGTCAAGTCTGATGGGTGTGTTGACCTTGTCTTGTGGAGCTGGCTTCCGGAGAAGCCATTTCCAAGCCTCTGGGCTAAACTGATAAGATTCCTGCCCCAGAGCACTTCCTGCCCTCTGAAGGGACAAAGGGGCTAGTGACTTTCAGGTTACCTTTTCTTTTCTTAGGTTTTCTCTAGGGAAAATATGTGAGTGTGCTTTGAGAGAGTGTGTATGTGTGTACGATAAGAGTGTGTGAGAATGTATGGTGTGTGAGCGTGTGGGAGTATGTGGCCAGTACACACATCTGTTCAGCTCGTGTAGTAGGAATGCTGTCTTCTGTCCCCACAGTGTCCTCTCCTGTCCCATCCTTCCAGCTTCTGTACTGTGTGTCAGTGTAGGGAGGAGGCTTTGGCATGAAGCCTGGACTCTGACTACCAAGATTTTCCCAGAACTTCATTCTACCAACTTCTTTTAGTTGCCATATTTGACTTTTTGCCATCTTTGCTTTTCAGTCAAGAGCTCCAAATACCTAGGCCCTTGAACTGGGTCACAGTTTAAATGAAGATGGTTTGGGCAGGGGGTAGCCAACTGGAGCCACTCCGAGGTAGGATCTGGAAGCGATGGTCATTGTGTGTCTCACACCCAGGGGAGCTGAGTTCCCTGAGACCAAGGACTTGTTCGGTCCTGTCTGAAGGGGAGACATGATTGATTCATTCCAAAAATGCTTATTGAGTCCCTCCTCTGTGCCAAGCACTGATGACAGAGCATGACATGAGTGACAAGATGAGAGCTAAGGAGACAGGTTCCCAAGGCTTTGGCCTTCACTTTGGGGCAGGGGCTATGGGGAGAGGCCACATGGTATGACTTACATTTTGAAGCACACAGGAGACAGTGAACACGTGCTTTGTAGTAGAGGTATGTGCCTTCTCTTCTCAGGCTACTGAGTGACACGGCCCCACCCTGGCTCCCCCCTCCACTGTCCACACCCCTCCATGTGGCTAGAGAAGGCTGTGTGCACTGCTGACCACACACAGCTGGTGATACAGACCTCGGAGAGCACCCCCCTGCTCCGTAGCAGGGTCAAATTCCCATTTTCCAAACATGCTCTGCTCCTCAGCCTCTGAAGCCACCCTCTCACTCCTATCTAGCTCAGGACCTGCTGTGTGTTTCACTGAGAAAATAAACACAGCAGGGTAAACTTGGTACAACCACTATGGAAATCAAATGTGGCAATTTCTCAAAAACTAAAACTAGATATTCCATTTGACCCAGCCATTCCCACTCTAGGCACCTTCCAGAAAGAGTTAAAGATTAAAGACATTATTCCACAGTGATCCATGTACACCCATGTTTATACTGTAGCAACACAACTCATAACAGGAAGCAACCTATTTGTCCATCAGTAGATGAATGGATAAAGAAAATGCAGTGTTTATACATAGTGCTGTATTATTCTGCCATAAAGAAAGATAAACTTTGTAGAAAAATGGATGCGCCTGGTGTTCGCTAGTCCAGCCTCATCCCCCGGGCCCAGCTGTGCTCACTTGGGCCGCAGCATTTCCCCCTGGGAACTCATCAGCTCTGGTCCAAGTCTGCTGTGCTGTGGCCCTCATTTTATCCAGGGGGAACTGATGCTCTGAGTGTCTAGGATCCCAGGGCCCAAGCACACAGCAGGGGTCCTGATCCACTGTCGTTTCTCTTCCAGGCAAGAGGATTTTGTAGCTGATTTTAGATGTGGTTCAGAGGGGCAAGAGGGGTCCTGCATCCAGCAGGGAGGAGACAGGTCGGATAATGAGCAGCAGGGAGAGGAATCCTCAGCTCAGGCAGAGAGGATGCTTTCTTAGAGGTGCCCCAAAGCACTGAGGCATAGTCATAGAGGGACAGACTGGGATGCACACCTACAGCTTGGAATCCAGGTTCTATTTTATTTATTTATTTTTTTAAATTTAAAATATATAGGGGAAAATGTTCAACATAGATTGGTAATCTTACTAGTTAGAAATAACCACAATCCATATCCTGACATAAATTCTCAACTTTTAAGAGTCATCTTTCCCCTGCAATGTAATAGAAAATGATTCTGCTCTGTATAAATAATTAAAACTACAGAATAAGAATTTTTAAAATCTCCCAGTTTTATTACTCAGAAATTCCTCTTGTTTATCCTGGATGATGCTTATTTTAGGCTTCTTTTTGGGTCAGGCCGATGCAGAGATAAATATTTAGACATAACTTCTATAAACAACAGCCATGCTCTTGTCCATTGTGGTAGCCATAGCCATAGGTGGCTGTAGACTGCTTGAAATGTGGCAGTTTTGAATTGAGAGATGCTCAGAGTAAAATGCACTCTGGCTTTAGAAAACACAATATGAGAAAAGATGCCCTTTCTTGAGAAGGGCTCACGTCTTTGGGGGATGCAGTGGGTGCTTCCCTGCCTGCCTGGTGTTGTGGCCGGTACCCTCAGTGGGCACTGTGTCCTTGTCCTCTGCTATTGGATGCTGCTTCAGGCCATTTGATTTTCTTTCCATCTTATAGGAAAGTTTCTTCTTGACCATCTAGAGAATTCTTGAGCACAGTAGCTCACTACAGCCTTACTCTGGTGTAGTTTGCTCTTCCCAGGAATCAGAGTCACATCTCCAAGACATTATTTCAGTTTCTGTGTGCACAGACAAAGCCCTGCTGAGGTCTGTACACTGCAGTTTTGGTTGACACACAAGAATCCCTGGAAAAGTCTTCCAGTGCCTTTGGTGGGCCATCCACCTAGAAGCTCAGTGGAACTGCATTGATTACTGCTTGAAGTAATTTTAAATTGCATGTATCATAGGCAAATCTGTTTTCTCTTCTAGGGCCAGAATGTTACTACAGATCAGTAATAGCGGAACCTTGTAGAGACGAGTGTCCAAACTGCAACCCAAAACCCACTTATATATTGCGAAGTGCAAACATTGCAATTAAATCTGAATACTGAGGTTTAGAAAAAACAACTCATATATGAACATCTTTTGTCTTTAAAGAAAAATACAATAGCATGCATGCCATAAGTTTGTCAGAATTGCTGTAGATAAAGCTAATGTCCGTTTTGCCCACTAGCTCCAGCTGAGGTCTCTCCTGTACCCCAGCTATAACTGCTGTCATGGGCTTGAGAATGTTTTAAACCTTTAAAACTGATTTTATATTTTAATTACAATTATGTTCTGTACATTACAGAAAAAACAGACCATGTTCATATTCATGCAGTCATTCAGAACAGTCTACATAAGTGGTTTCCAAAGACTTACTTCTGGAGTGAACTTTTTATTCTAACTAACAAGCCAACACAGACAGTAGCAAAATGATAACACTTCAAGTAACTTATGTTGTCTTAGGAGTAAACGCTTCCTACAGACACTCCCAGATATATGTGCATAGTTTTGACACAAACCCACTTTAGGATTCTAACCTTACAGAGGTCTACCAGCTCCTGTCTGTGTAGGAGGCCACAGAACACAGAAGAGCTAGGGGATCTTTATGCCAAACTCTTGGGAATGTACTGCATTTGGGTTTTATGTATACTTTATAAGATCATGGTATGACTTATTATCATAAGATAGCTTTCTATTCTCCCTGTTGAACTCTTTCCATGCCACTGGCTACCCATCTTTCTGGGGTCTTTCATTGTGTGACAAAGGAATGACTGAGTGCTTGAGCCAGATTAGCTGGGCATCCCTTGGGGTGAACCTGGTTCACTGTAAAATGGCATGATTCAGACCCCATCCAAGGTAATGAGGCCCCAGAAGGGCCTCCTTGGGGGCCGGAGCCTTGTAGTATGGGGGTCTTGAGGCCCTTGGGACTTCCATTTTAGCCTCTCTCTCTTTTTTCTTTTTTTTTTTGTACTGGGGATCGAACTCTGGACCTTGCACTTGTGAGCTAAATCCCTGGCCCCCTCTCACTCTGTTTTGCAGATGACATGGCAGAACTTCTCCTGGGGGAGTCGAAGTTGGAGCAGTACCTGAAGGAGCACCCCCTGAGGCAGGGTGCCAGTCCCCGAGGCCCAAGACCCCAGCTGACCGAGGTCCGCAAGCATCTGACTGCTGCCTTGGACCGAGGGAACCTCAAGGTACTGTGGGCCTCTGAGATAAAGAGGGGATGGTGGGAGATGGTGTTATCATCTCCTTGATGGTGTGTGGTTGTGAAAGATGCCCAGAGATGAACTGGCCAGGTTTGGGGTATTATCTATGCTTCCACCATGGCTGTCTTCTTAGAAGCAGGCCAGCTGTCTGCATGACCAGCATGGCAACCCCCAGGCTGGCCACCCAACTAAGTCCTCAGTAACACTGCCTCCCAGCGGGATCACTGGACTCGTGAGGTGCTCAAGGTAAAGCTTCATGTTTGGCCCAGAGCTCAGTGTGACACTTTATCCCTTCTAGAAAAGAGAGAAGTTGATGTAAGTGTCATTAATGCAGTTTCCTTCTAAATCACATGGCTCATGAATGTAATAGGCTGCAGTGGCTCAGACCTGTGTGGGTTTCATCCTGGTACCAACAGGCCTGGCACTGCCTCATTGTGGGTAGGAACCGGGAACTTCTGCTGCCTCAGTGGGGACCCTCAGCTCCCAGCATGGGGTATCTCAGCTCTGTCCTACTGTCTGCCCTACCTTCTGTCCCCATTTATACTCAGCTGTCTTTTTGCTCACTTCCTCTCCTTGCTTCTTGTGAGCACCCTTCCACCCACCCTTTTGCCTTTTGCAAGGGACCTCTGACCTGTGCTTGTCTGTCCTTCCTCCCCACCCATTAGCTCATATTTCCTGGCTCTGGGTGCTTCCCACCCTGAAGCCTGGCCTCACCACTTACTTTCTTTCTTTCTCTTTTTGGTACCGGGGTCAAACTTAGGACCTTGTGCTTGCAAGGCAGGTGCAGCACGATTGAGTTGAATCCCTGGCCCCTTATGGCTTTCTCAGGTCACTGTCATAGAGGTAGCTACTCCATCCCAGTCCCCTCCTGCTCATCTTCTCTATGACCCCCACTTTTCCCCAGGATGTATTTTCCACTGAGGACAAATAGTCTTCAGTGAACTTTTGAAGCTCTGACTTTTTAATTGATGAATTCTCTTTTCACTTTTTGTTTCTTCCCATCTCAGAATCCTCTGGAGCCACTTCTTTGGCCTTTTCTCTCATCTGTTGGTGCATATTTTTTTCCTCCTCTGGAACCTTATTTTTGTTGGGTTTATGTTTTGCATATGTATTGGTAACTTGTGCTTGGTCCTAACTTGCTGTGTGACTTTGAGGAGGTACCTTTCCTCTCTGGGGCTCATTTCTCCAGATTTGAATGGAGGAGACTCTGAAGGGGTTCTTGTGAGCCTTCATTTTGAGATTTTTTTCCCTCTGGCCACTCTTTAGCCCTGTTGCAACTGAGGGCTTGGGCTGAGCTAGTGTTGATGTCCGTGATTGTCTGGTGTGGGCTTCTGGAAGCCCTAGACATAACCTCCTCTGAAGACACTCCTATATTTTTCTGTCTGTCTCTCTGTGGTAGACATGGCCCTGGAGGCTGGTCCAGAGGAGCCTGTGTTCCTAAGGCCTTGCTGCCACATTTGGTCCTTAAAACCCAATCTTCACCTTCCTGTTCTTCCTTCCCAAGGCCAAGCCATGCTGGTTCAGAGTTAGGGAGGCACTGTCTGTGTGTCACCTGTTCTCCACCAAGGATCTTCTGGTGACCCTGGTAGTGGGTCTTGATCAATAGGAGATGGGGGAGGGACAGGGGTCAACGTGGCCACAGATCCGGCCAGTCAGACCTAACAATCCTGGAAGGAGTGAGGCTGTGACTGTGTGACATCTAGCTCCATTCTTTTGCACTCCTAACACCTACCTTCATCCTGAAAAGTTGTCATTTATTTTATCATTCTCTGCAGTCCATCCTCTGTAACTCAGTGTGGTAGCGAGAGCATTGGATTTCAAGTTAAAATTCTGGAGTTTGAGTCCCAGTTCTGGTTTTATAAGCTGTATGATCTTGGTTACTTAATCTCTCTGAACTTCATGTTTCTCAACTGTAGATCTTTGTAGCTAAGGATAGTTTTAAGCTCAAACAGAAACACACCAAACACCTGTCACTTACTGCTGTTTTATTGCGTCTACCTAAGTTTTACTCCATCTGCTGTGTTCTAATTTTGTCCACTTTATAAAGAATGTCCCAGAGTCACACAGCTTTTGCACAAGTGTGTTACCCCATTCACACTGGCTAATGTGAAACTTCTCTTTTCCTTGACTTTGTGTCTCAAGAGATTTGAGCCTGGGGAGAGCAGAGCGAGTCAGCAACAGTGGGCAAAGGAAAGAGCCCTGGACCAGGAGCAGGGAGCCAGGGTTTCTGACTCAGGGCTGGAACCTACCTCACCGTGAGCGAGTGAGGCAGCCTGGGTCCATGGGGCTCTTTTCCCTGCAGCCGGTGGCTGAGTGGCCAAGCTGTGCCAGACAGTGGATGGACCTGCCCATGTCCATCCTGTACCTCTGGACTTGTCATCTTCTCTAAGCTGATTTTCCATCTAGACATATTTCCCTTTTTATTTTTTAAACTTTTATTTTTTCTTGTGGTAATATGTACATAACATAAAACTGAACATTGTAACTGTCTTTCAAGAGCGCAGCTTATGGTGTTAATCAGGTTCGCACTGTTGTACAGCCCTCCCTGCCCTCTTCCCAAACTGAACCTCTGACCCCATTAAGGGTCGACCCACATTCTCCTTGTTTCAGCTTGCTCAAGCTGGTGCTTCTTACTTAGATGCTAGAGGACTTGGGGCAATGGGGAGGGTGCTGAGTCTCCTCAGAAGCCAGACCTGTCCCCATGGTGGTGGAGAAGCCCTGTGGTGGTGCTTTTCTTGTAGCTCTTTTTCTCCCTTCTCTGGTCTGCTTTGGTTGTTCTGTCTCCAAACATCATCCTGATTTTTGCATAGTGTCCTCCCCCTTGGGCCACCCCTCAGCCCTTTTTGTTGCCTTCAGTTCTCTTTGAACATCCTCCCTGGGGCTTCCTGATGTCTATCCCTGCTCCCTTCCAAGAAATACCCAGGAGGCGACACTGTGGCCGGCATGGGTGCTCTGTTCTGCTCTGCCTGGGCCGCTGGGTCTTGTTGCCTGTCCATCAAGGCTGCCAGTTACACGGTGATGCAGCTTCACGGTGCGCTCCTGCAAGCTGAGACATGTACCCTCGGTAGTTTGTGCTCCCAGGAGAAGGTCTAGGAGAGGCTGCTGGATCTGTTTCCTTGTCTATATGGCTGGGTCAACTCTCCTGCCTCCAGCTGATGAGGCATGAGGAAGGGCAGGGCAGAGGATCAGGCTGGTGGGTGGACTGAGGGATGCGGAGGAAGGTGAGCTCTCTCACAGCTGGGAGAGTCCTCAGCCTTAGGAAAGGGAACCCTGGCCCATACCTTGGCTTCACAAGCTTAAAATGCACAGTAGAAACAGTTTGCCCTGGCAATAAAGCAAGCCCTGACTTTGTACCCTTAGTAAACCTGTCGCGGGTTGTTTGGGCTCCAGTCTGTATATTGCTAGTGCTGGATGCAGGACCCTCCAGGAAGTCAGAGCAGCTTTCCCTTGTCAGCCGGTAGGTGCTCACATTGCTCCTGTTTTAGCAAGGAAGCATCCCTCCATTTATGGCCCAGTCCAGGGGAGATGCAGGATTTGGTTTTATTTTTTCACAACAGCTTTATTGCCATATTAGTCACCAATTTAGTGCACACTTCATTTGCTTTTAGAATATTTATGAAGTTGTCCAAATATCACCTCTTACTTCCTCAGCTCATAGCCCTTGGCACTCACTAATCTGCTTCCTGATTCTATAGATTTGAATGTTCTGGGCATTTTATATAAATAGGCCCAGATAATTTGTGGCCTTTTCTGACTAGCTTTTTCACTTGGGATATTTCGGGGGTTCATCCATATTGTAGCACCTCATCTTTTCTTCTGACTAATATTCCATTTTGTGGCTGTACCACATTCTGATGGACGTTTGGGTTGTTTGGACTATTGTGAAATTACTTCTGTGAGCATTTGTGCCCAGCTTCTCACGTGGGGCATTATGGGGTTTTAAGACAGCAGATGGCTAAGTCCTGAGGGAACATCATGCATAATATTGTAGGAAAATACTTTTTCTCCTTTTCCCTCTAGTCAGAATTCCTACAAGAATCCAATCTGATCATGGCCAAGTTGAATTACGTGGAAGGAGATTATAAAGAAGCTCTGAACATTTATGCCCGGGTGGGCCTCGATGACCTGCCCCTGATGGCCATCTCTCCGTACAGGTTGCGCATGATTGCGGAAGCCTATGCTACCAAAGGTGAGGCCTGTGTGCTTTTCCCTCGCATCCCTCTTGTTCTCTGGAGCCATTACAGCCTCCCTGTTTGACTCCTGTGCCCTTGGCTGTGATTAACTCCACAATTCCCAGCTCAGCCCCACCTCATGTTATAGGTGATTTTAAGCCCAACACATTGTTTCCCCAGAGGTTCAGTTCTTCAGTTATCCCTGAAGGGAATGAAGGAAAGTATTTTGGTAAACTTTCTTGATAATTAGCCCACAATTTAACTGGGATCTTTTCTTAGTAATTAAGTTGCTGCACAGTACATACAAGGGTTCATATCATATGCTCAACTGCCAATGTGGCCAACCACGTTTTTATTCATTAATGCCACCTCTGAGTTAATTAAGGCCACTTGATTGATACATGATAATAGTCCTCTGATGGTTAACAGGTCTCTATTCAGGGAACAGAAGAAAGTGTAAATATCTCTGCTGCCACAAAGGAGCTCGTAATCTCATGAGAGGATGCAGTCCCGTGGAAAGGAAAAGGATGGAAAGGCAAGACATACTGTTACTCGACATGGGTTATTATAACCAAGCTGCCAGTTCTTCTTCTGTGATGTCATACTCACTTTAGAGAGTGAGGAAGGTGGATTCAAGTAGTACATGTGAAGCACTTAATATAGTACCTGGCACATACTCAGTGCTTAATCAGTAACAAGACAGCACATGGTGAGAGTCAAGAGTAGGTAACACCTTCTCGGAGGTGAGAGAGGTCACTATAGGCCAGCAGAGCCAGGTGTGCTTCCAAGAAGACGGACACTTGGAACTGGACTCCTAAGGCCATGGCAAGAAGTGGACCATCTAGAGCAGCTCCTCTGCCTCCTGAGCCTGCTGGCCAGACCACACACTGTGCCGAACTGTGGCTGGAACAGCAGTGATCTGGCTACTTGCACGCTATCTGGCTGAGACGTGGGGGCTGCTGTGGTCCAGCCTGTCTGACTCAATTGTCCTGTGCAACGTCACTCAGAGACCTGGCCAGAGGCACATTCTTCAGAGCTTGTGACAGGCTTGATGTATTCACTCAGTTCCCTGGGGAGTCTTAAGGACTGCCGGGTTCATCTAATTAATCTTCTAAATGTCCCTGTGGGCTGGGAAAAAATGCCATTGCTCTTGACAGGGCACTCGGCAGTTTAATGGGTAGGGTCCTTGAGGTCCCAAGAGCATCTGCTTTGTTTGCGTCAGTCTGAGCTGTGGGGGGTGCTGGGGTCTGTGCTGCAGCTGCCCTCTTCTCTCTCTGTGCTCCCCTGCCTCTCCACATGCCTTAGGCTGCTGGGAGCTGTGTGTGTGTGTGTGTGTGTGTGTGTGTGTGTGTGTGTGTGTGTGTGTTCAGGAATGAGAACAAGCATTTTCCAGTCACCTGGTTGACCTGGGGCCCAGTAGATGTAACCAGGAGTTGGTTGTGGAAGGTGGTGCTGGGGTCTGCTGAGCAGCAGAGCTCAGGTCTTTGTATTGGTTCTGGGACAGTAGAGTGGAGGCAGACTGTCTTCAGATGGCACCACCAACACAGTATGTGGCTTCCATGCCAGGTAGGCAAAGAAGACAGGAGACTTAGACCCTTTGTCTGGTCCTGGGTAAAATATAGTTAACAATGGGCCCCCAGCCATGAGTACGGCTGGCTCCTGAGAGTTTCTATCTAGTTTCTGACTTTTGCAGTTACAAACTGGTTCACATGTGTTTGGGAGAGGTAAGGGTTATTTTGCCCAGAGGAAGTGGCTGGTGAAAGCCCAGGAGCTGGTGAGAGGCAGTGTAGAGTGATGATCAGGAGCACTAACTCTGAACCTTCTGTGTGGGGCTTCCGCCTATCACAATCTCTGGCTGTGTGACCTTGTGCAAGTTCTTGTACCTCAGTTTCCCCATTTATGAACGTTTAAAGGGGTTATAAGGATTACATAAGATAGTATATAAAATGTATTGAAAAACCCCACAAATAGCATGATATAAATGTTTTCTTAGAAATGAGTATTGGTGGACAGTGGGGACTAGAAGTGACATGTAATAGTAGAGACATGCCAGCGCAATCTGTGGAAATTGTCGAAGATGGGAGATTATCCAAGGAGTTCAAGAAGCCACTGGTGCTACCTGTGTTTTTTCACGAAGCTTCTAGAGAGCTTTTAAGGAGAGGCAACTGACAAGGAAGACCACAAGTATCAGTGTACGACCCTTAATTCACAATTCGTGCCGTGCTCTCCTGCAAGTTGTCTGAGATGGGCTTTGTTTCACTAGTGCAGTGATTACAATACTTTTAAGTTACTGTTAACACTTCAAAATTGAGGCCATTCATTCCATTTAAATATTTGGTTTTCTGAGTCTTTGGAGAGAAGAGAAGAGCAGTCCTTCATTCCCCCATACCAAGACCAGGCTGGGGTCTAGTGACAGCCATTCCTTGGGTGGCCATGCCTCCAGGCTACCCCTTCCCTTGTGTGATTTATACACTTGTACAGCAGAATTGACCTGCAGAGTTTTCCATGGTGTCCTGGGGTCTGACATGACCAGGGTTCTGGCTGGAGCCTGGAAATGCCATTGAGCCCACACATCTGGTCTTCCATCATTGGCCGGGAGCTCTTCCCCCTTCAAGGACTCTCAGCCTTCACTGAGCCAGCATCATTTAGTTACCGAGGACTTCCTAGGGGTCAGCGCCATGGTGAGGCTTTCCTGCCTCTTTATATCTGCAAAGCCTGAGTTGACAGTGAGAGAAAGGAGACAGTGAGGTCTGACATCAGTGGTCAGCTATACTGAGATTCCTCCATGCTGGGTGTTGTGCGCTTATTTGGGTATCTGATTCAGTCTTTGTGACCATCCCTCAAGGTAAATGCCATTATTCAGATGAGGAAACTGGGGCACAAGGAAGTTAGAGAAACTTGGCTAGGGCCCTACAGCTAGAAAGAGGTCAGGCCAGGACTTGACCTTAGAGACTGGTTCAGAGCCTGTGCCCTCCCTTTGAGTGGCAGATGGGCTTGCTTAGAAATAAATATTGTTACTGAGTTTAGCTCCAAAGCCCATGATTCTCATTGCTCTCTTCTCTTACATGCTCTGGATCTCCCATGGCCAGATAAGTTTTTCTCAGAGAAAGGACATTCAGGCCTCTAAAAAACACCCTGATTTGTACCTGCTCCCCTTCTCACCCACCCCTGTTCTCTCCACCAGAACCCTTCCTTTGCCTGTGTTTCTCCCTAGATGTTTTCTCTAAGCTCTGTTTCCTGTCATCTCTGAAGCCACCTGGTAGTCGCCCATTTAGAGTTGGCCGTGTTTGATACCATCATAGCCCCAGGGGTTAGGATTGTGTGGGAAATACAATGGAATGAATTGTACCATCATCAGATGCCCCTGCCTGTCTTTGATTCCTCCAAAGAAAAGGTTTTCTCTCGCTGACTTGCTATGCTCAGGACGTAGCACTGTATCTGGTACATACTTGCTGCTCAATTACTGATGCCATTTATAAATGTTCCCTTGATTAGACTTCTTATAATTTGGGTGATTCTCAGAGCCTCTGCTCACAGCCTGCTATAACCCAACCACCTTCCAAAGGTCCCAGCTATGATCCATGAGGCTCTAGGAGGACATCTAGATATAAACCAAAAGATTCATTCACATCTCTTTATGCCAACTTCATTTAGTTCATGTGTAGGAGTTGCCAACATCTTAACAGTTTCAGTATTGCTGAAAGCCCAAGTCCGATTCCAAAGTCTCTTTTGAGACTTAGGGCAGACTCTTAGGTGGGAGCCCTTGTACATATCAAAAGAAGTCAAAAGCCAGGCGTTTTGGCACATGCCTTTAATCCCAGCACTCCAGAGGCTGAGACAGGAAGGTTGCTGTAAATTCGAGACCAACCTGGGCTACATAGTGAGTTCCAGGTCAGTCTCAACTACATAGTGAGACCCTGTCTCAAAAAAAAAACAACAAAATGTTGAACTTTCAGCATAGACAGGAAGGTTGCTGTAAATTCGAGACCAACCTGGGCTACATAGTGAGTTCCAGGTCAGTCTCAACTACATAGTGAGACCCTGTCTCAAAAAAAAAACAACAAAATGTTGAATACTTTCAGCATACAATGGTCTAGGATAAAGCTTCCCATTCCAAAAGGGAGAACGAAGAGAATAAGAAGGAATGGGACTAAACCAAGACTGAAGTCCAACAGGGCAAACATTAAATCCCATGTTCCATGTCCAGTGCCCAGGGCAAGTTGTGGTAACATGTAAACTATAATGAACTTGGGTGGCCCTGCCCCTATGGCATTGCCAGGGCTTGTACCCCTCATGGCTTCTCTCTTGTGCTGGCTTTGCTTACTCCTGGCAGCTTTCCTCAGATATCCATGTTCCTAGACTCTCCAAATTCCTGGGGTTCCTGTTCCACTTTTGGGTTTATTCTTATAGCTTTATACACTGTCCTCTCATAGGCGTACCTCCCAGACCTCTTCTGAAATTTGGATGGAAGTCTCCCTGACCGTACAACTTTTCATTTTGCATACCTGTAAAACCAGGATCATGTGGGTAAAGCCAGGGTTTGCTGCCAGCTCAAGTGGTAGCTGAGCCCCCTTCAATTGTGGCTGCAGAAGCCACTGAGTGGCTGGGTGGCTGAGCACTATGAACTGGATCCCAAGCAACAAATTTCTTAGGCAACCATTGTAGGCCATGGGACCCTGGAGCTTTCTTCTCAGAGAAAAGTCATTCACTTTTACAATTTTGAACCTGCAGTGGTGGGGCCTTCCTGGGTCCTCATATACCCTCAAGCCCCCTTTTCTATTTTCCTGTTGCAAAGTATTTGGCTTCTTTTTAATGCTAATCTTTTCAGCAGCCAAGCTGTCATGTGCTTCATCTTTGTAGGAAATTTCTTGCAGGCAAAAATGAAAACTTTTTTTTTTTTTTTTTTTTGGTCCCGGGGAGTGAACTCGGGTCCTTGTGCTTGCAAGGCAAGCCACTGAACTGCTGAGCTAAATCGCCGGCCCAAAAATGAAAACATTTTAAATGGACTTTTTGCTCC